CCCTCTACCATGTTGTCATCTCATTGCAAGTTGACCCCTGGACCTTGAATATCCAAAGTGAGCTGAAGACACCTCTATTCTTATGAATCATCCAGTTTGTGATATTTATGTTGGCAATGCAATAGCAGACTTGATATATTTTTTCCCAAACTGACCAGATCACATAACAATAATATTAAAATTAGAAAATACTGAAAATACATCAAATCTTCTCAAAGAAATTACCTATCAGCCTTAGAAGAAAGGAAATCATGTCCAGAATTCAAATTATGAAATAACTAGCCAACAGTTTTGTGAGAGAATGGTAGACTCTCATACAACACAGGTTTTCTTTCTTTTTTTTTCTTTTTTTAAAGCTAATTGTAAATAATATCATTGTGTTCACAACCTATGACATCATGTTATATTGGTGAAAGGGCTTACGAAGTGAAAGAGTCCATTCAGAGCATTTAAAGGTATTATTGTTACAGGAAAGAAAACAAATCTTTCTTCTTCCTCTTCTGAAGTCATAGGAAAAACCCATATAGAAGCTAATGGTTTTTAAATTTTGTTTAATTAATTAATTTTGTTAAAGATTTTTGCCATAGGGCACATGTGATCACTGGGGAGAGAGATGGAGAGGGAAAATGAGATATCATCCTCTGAGGGGAATGGCCATGCCATAATCTCTTCTCTTTCATGCTCCACTGAGGATTTTGGGCATGCATACATGCCACCTGGCATGATTTTCAAGCCACTGGGTCTGGGACTTGAGCATGGGGTCTGCCATGTAGGATTCAATGCCGTAACCACCACACCACCTGCTGGCCCCATAATGAAAAATTTTGAAGAGAAAATTACAGAAATAGTATTAAATAAAAGCACCTAATGGAAACTTAAATACTATTTAATAAAATGTAATAGTAATGACCAAAACTGATTTAAAAAAATCTATGAATTATCATCATAGATTTAGCAATTTAGAGTCACATAATGGCAATTACAGTATTTTCCTTATTACCACATTGTGAGTTTTTGTCTCTTTTTTTTTAAAGGTTTTTCCATTGCATGTGTACCCTCACCAAAGAAGAGAGAGACAGAGAGAGACAGTGAGAAGGAAAGTGAGAAATCACCCCCCAAGTGGGATTGCCGTACCACAATCCCTATCCCTTCTCCTCCATTTTCTTCCTGGGATTAGTTTTTGTCCTTTTTATTAAAAATCATTTCTTTAATTACATTTGTTGCTATTATTATTATTATTTTAAATTGGACCAGAGAGAAATACACACAGAGAGAAAGGGAAGGCGAACAAGCAAGCTGCCAGGGCCACGACTGAACCGTGATCAGCAATGTGAAAGTCCAGCGCCTTAACCACAACACCACCTGCTGGTCCTTAGCTTTTGCCTTTTTAAAATCACATTTAGTACTCTTTATTTGTCCTTATCCCATTTAGATATATATATTTTTTTAAGAGAATTTTTGCTATAGGGTGAGTGTGCCTGCTAGAGAGACAGAAAGCGAGAAATCACCCCTCAGGGTGGATGGTCACACTACAGTCCCTTCTCCACCATTCTCTCAGGATTTTGGCCAAGCACACACACATGCCCAGGGCTCAAATCACAATCGGCTACATGAGAGTACGACAACGTTACCATTTATGTAATCACTTACTTTTAGTACCTCTATAGTTCTTTTTATAAGTCACAACAGATTTTGTTGTAGTTATAAAATGTAATTCAGAAAAATTTAAATCGTATTTTATAAGAGAAAAATACTTAAATAAGGGAGTATGTTTGTTGTACCTAGAATACAACATGACAGTAAAAAAAGCTCTCTCATTTTTAATATTTTTTAAGAATTATTTTATTTATTTATTTATATTTAAATTATCATTTTTATTCTTTAATTTGACTAGAGAAAGAGAGAGAGACAGAGAGAGAGGGAAAGTGAGAAAGCAAGCCACCAGATCCGGGACTTGAACCATGGCCAATCAAATGGGAATCCAGCACTTTAACGACCATGTCACCTGCTGGCCCCGAAACTCTTTAACTCTTAAGGCAGTGATTCTGAGTGGATGTTCTGAGGACTACTTGTCTGAGAATTACCTGGGAAATTTGTTAGAAAAGCTACAAATTCCTGTAATCTATTCTAGATCTACTGAGCCTGATTCCAGGTGAATTAAATTCAGAACATGTTCAACTACACAGAGAGTCACAGATGTGTCGTTTCTTTTTAAAAAATAATTACTTACTTTATTCATTCATTCATTTATTTTTTTTTTTAATTTGACCAGAGAAACACAGGAGAAAGAGAAAATGAGAGAGCAAGTCACCAAGTACGGGATTTGAACTGTTATTGGCCATGTGGGAGTGTGCAGTGCCTAACCACCACACCATCTGCTGGTCCTGTGTCACAGATGTTTCTTAAGCATGGATCACTTTCAGAACCACACTCTTAAAGGCAATCTTCCATCTGGGACCATTGGCCAAATCAAAGTAAACTAGTAGGATTAGGTAACTTTGAACATGTAGAAGAAAGAGAAGTGGAATATTTTCTGTTGCATTTCTTCATTTAGTAGGTTATCTTACACATGATAGGCACTCAACTAATACATGTTAAATGAGAAGATAAATGGATTTTTTCAATTACATAAAGACAAATATCATTAGATGCAGAATATGCATGTTAAACTAGGAAATCACAATTAGGAATATTCAAAGGAAACATTATTTCAGTCCCCTCTCAGGATCTTGGACATATGCGCACATGCGCCCGACATGAGTTTAAGCCACCAGGTCCGGGACTTGAGCCACAGTCGACTACATGGGAATCCAACAACATAGCCATTACATCAACTGCTGGTCCCATGATGATTGTTTTTGTAATTGTCAGAGGTTATATGTGCTCATCAAGGGAAAAAAGAGAGACAGAGAGGGAGAAAACACCACCCAATGGGCTGTGGTCATGCTGCAATCTCTTCTCCATCCTGTTGTAATTTTGGGCATGAATGCACATGCACATGCACCTGGTATGTTTGTCAAACTACCAGGGCCAGGATTTGAACTACATTAGGCCATCTGGAATCCAGGTCCCTTAACCACTGATAAATACATAACTGAAGGTTAAGTTATGAGAGGTAGTAAGTGGGAGAACAAGCTGAAGCATAACCAGTGTTAGGACTCAGAACACAAAACGCTGAAGTATGCCAAGCTGAGTACTTAGAACTGAGGATTTTGGAAGGCTTCAGACTCAAGGTCTATGACCGTCTCCTGCCCTCTTGTCTCTAATCTCTATTTCCCCTGAAAAGAATGATATGGAAACAAGAATTTCTCTGTTATAAGGTGGATCATAGAAACTAGAGCCCCTCTTTCCTAAAGCAAGCCATAAAACTTAAAGAGATGACTCTCTTCTCTGTTTTCTTTTGAAAACCCCCATTCCACAAGGGTCCAGCCCCTACTTGGAGGAAAGAACACCATACAGAGAGGCTGAAAAGAATCTGGATAGACTGGCTTTTCTGGTTTTTCCTCTCCAGTTTCTTATCATTAGATCTGACCTTCTGTCTAATCACAATACTACACAACTGTCCATCTATCATAGCACCTAAGCATAAAAATAGACATTTACCCTAGGTCTCTGGGTGTTCACTTCCGAAGTCTCCTGTGTCACATACAACTTTGATTAAACAAAAGCATTGTGGCATGGTGGTTTGGGCGCTGGACTCCCACATGGTCGATCGCAGTTTTTGAGTCCTGGACCTGGAGGCTTGCTTTCTCACTTTCCAACCTCTCTTTGTCTCACTGTGGTGAGTGCACATGCACTGTAGCAAATTAAATAATAATAATAATAGTTCATAAAATAAAATAATTTTTTAAAAAAGCATTATGCTGTTATCTTGTTAATCTTTTGTTATACGAATGCCAGTCTAGTGTATTATGGATGAGGACAGGTATCTGACCTTTCTGCTTCTAGTAATAAACTCTTTAATAAGTTCCTGATAAATGTAAGAGGCAGATGTTGGATTTGCTAGCCATTAATTATTTGTGTTTTATTTATTTATTTATTTTTAATGAGAGGGTTTTTTTTTTTTTTTTTTTTTATGGGGGGGTTTTTTTTTTTTTTTTTTTTTTTGGAGAGGTTTTTATTCGCTATAGAGTGCGTGTGCTCGCCAGACAGACAGAGAGAGACAGAGACAGAAAGCGAGAAATCACTCCCCAGAGGGGATGGTCATGCTGCAATCCCTTCTCCCACTTTTTTTTTTTTAAAGCAGGAACTTTGTCTAGGGTATGTACACTACATTTTCTATATTTAGGGATACATTTATTACACTTAAAATCAATAATATAAATATTCTTCCCCTTATGTATTTACAAGCAAGATTACTTCTGTGTTAGCAATGAGGAAAATGAGATATTTGTTTTCACATGTTTATTCATTTATTTGTTCATTCAGGAAATGCTTGCTGGCCACCTACTCTGAACTATAGCTTATTTAAGCTATAGTTCCTTATTTAAGCTATAGTTCCTAGCCTTGAAAAGCTCATAGCTGAATATTTTGTGAGAAACAGGTAAATTATAGTACCCAGGGTTAAGGAGAAATGTAGGTTTATAAGCATCTTTTAAGGATGATCAGTGGTTTATCAGGGTCTAAACTTCTTTTCTTAAATCTCTGCCTTGAGTCTGCTTGGGGACTACATAATTTGAAAGGTAAGTGACGTACTTGAACGTGAAGGCCTGGAACTAGGTGAGGAATGCTGCCTCCATTGGTATTTCAGGACTAGCCTAGAAGGAAACAGTCTCCTTTTTGTCACAGACGGTTACCCACCGAAGTGAGATGCCCTGTTCTGGGTCATGCTCACTGGGAGCATGGTGAGCTGGGAGCATGAGCACTTACATCTTATTTGTTTGTTGAGCTGAGCTGTCATAGGCTTAATAATATGCACTCCAGCGTACAGGAACATCATTATGAACTGCAGTGACATTTCTCCTTCCTTCTTTTCCTACCTTTTTTTTTTTTTTTTTTTTTTTTTTTTTAGGGAGTCTTCCCTCCCTACTATTGTTCAACTGGGTGTGTCTATATCCTGCTTCTTCTGTAATAATCTTTTTACCCTCTTTCATGGTTTTACCTACTTAACTAATGGACTAGCCTCTAACTAACTACTATTGTGTAATTTTAACATGGATTATGTAAACGCGTACACACACACACACACACACACACACACACATACGGGCGTCTCTTAATTAAGAATGTGATGAGTAGATGAAGGTATTTGGCAATAGTTGAAATCAGCAAGTCATTAAAAATTCTTCCACGATACTACTAATTTGTTTGTAATAGCCTTCTAATTGCAGCATATAAACAGAGACAAATGTGGGTTGGACTCTATGGAAAAAGTATCAGTCTTGTGTTTTTCTGGTTAAAACGGCTATAATTTCCACTTCTGGTACAGTTGAAATATGCAATAGAAAGCTATATCCCGTGCCTTTGGTTGACAAGCTTCTAAAGTTGAAGTTCTCTTTCTGAAAGGTGGTCTTCCTTTATTAAATGTTTGTTGTCAGTTGGTAGCATTGTGTAGTCTAGGAGAAATCACAGAGATGCAGGTGTCTTATGAATAACCAGATGGGAAATGGAAGATGATCAAACTTCCTCTAAGACCCTATGAGTCAAATAGGAATGACAAAAGATTTTCCTTTGAAACAGTGAGGAGGGTGAAACCGAATTTTAAAAAGTCTTGTATACAAATGACAATAATGCCTTCCATAAACCTCCTTCTGAGAGACAGGAAACCTGTTTTCTATAGCTTTTCCCATCACCAAAATACAGCCAGAGTCTGCGATTAGACTCAGCAGCTGTTTAACAGTGCCAGGAACACTGATGAACTCCCAAAACATTTCCTTCAAGTAAAATCATATCTTCCAAAGAGCACATGCCAGTTTATTTGTTCATGCTGATTTAGAGGGAAGAACGCCACCTATCGGATCACAACAGCAGTGTGGATAGCATCCGACCATCCTTCTGGTCTCCCTTCCACCCACCCGGCAGCACATCCTGTTTTTCCCCAGAGAGCGGCATATTCTAATGTTCGGAGGTGGTCTGCAGTTCACCTAAGTGTGCTCATATCACGCTCTATAATTCGAGGAAAACACATGAATTTTAATCAGTTTTTAAAACAACCAGGCCTCTCTTCTCATTTACTAGAATGGAAAAAATTCACTTTTATTACCTTAAAGATGCCAAACATTGCCATTTTATTACTGTGGGAAGCTGGAAGTCATTTCCGAACCCTTTTGGCAAGGGTGCTATGTAGAACATCCAACTCAGTCCTTTAAGTGTCTTCTGAGAACCGCCACACAAACTGTGATTTACTGTCTTCAGGAGTTAAAGGGACCCTTTCTACCCTGAAACTGAAGAAAGAAAGGTGAAGTGTGTTTACGAAGCATCCCAATGAGCCTTGCAAGAATATGGGACAGCACAGAGACAGAAGTAAAGGATGTTTGGTAAAGAATGTTTTGGTAATCCATATTTTCCAACGTATCATTTCTACTTTGCTTTCAAAGGTTATGTTGGCAGCCTGTAAAAGTTGGAATGACTTTTGTATACTGATCAACTGGTCTCAGGACACTCACAGACATCTTAACACTTAGTGGTGATGTGGCTGTTCCCCCCTCCCTGTTTGCTGTTTGCATCCTAAACAGGGTTTTGTACACCTCCACAGTGAGTAAAATATTATAGTTAAAAAAGAAAACAATATATGGGACTAGCAGCTAGTGTAATGGCTATATCACTGGACTCTCATGTAGTCGACCGCGGTTTGAGTCCTGGACCCGGTTGCTTAAACTCACGCCAGGCACATGTGCGCGCGTGCCCAAGATCCCGAGAGGAGAAAGGAGAAGGGATTGTGGCGTGGCCATCCCCACTGGGGGAGAGGGTTGATTTCTCGCTTTCTGTCTCTCTGTCTCTCTCTGTATTTTGAGTGAGCACACATGCCCTATAGCAAAAAATCCTCTCCAAAAATAAATAAATAAAACAAAATATATATAAAATTATGTATACATCTGTGTATATATAGTTGGATATATGTACATATTTGTATATATGCATGTGTACACACACATATAGATACAAAGACACAAACGCACAGACCCTTCCTGTGGAGTACCTAAATTTTATAAAGACATATTCGACTGACTAAACAAATTAAACAAAAATCAGAAAAAGATTTTTGTATATTCTCTAATTTGCATAACCAGAAGATGGAAAGACTCCAGCCGCCCTTCTTCCTATTCAGTAGCAACAAGCGATAATTGGAGTTTATGTATTCTGTAGCTGATTCAAATCTCCGGTAGTTTAACGTTACGTAATCTGGGAGACTACTATTGCTAACAATTAAAACATTCACACACATGTACGTCGTCCCCGGTGTGAGTCTGTTTACAGGTTTTTGACTAGCCAGTATGTGCAAGTGCTATATAGTTATATCACTAGGCAAATGGAGGCAAAAGCACAGGAGAGAGAAACAAGAAATTAACTTATTAGTCAGAAAAAAATACATTACCCCATATGGGACTGGCCCAGTGCATAGCACATGATGGGCTCTCTACAGATATCTGATGAATAATGAGTGGTAAATTAGCTACTTTGGAAAGCAACTAGACTGTCACATCAAAACGAGAGTTGGGACCAGCTGATGGCATAGTGTTTACATGGCTAGACTCTCATGTAGTCGATCACGGTTCTAGTACTGGACCTGGCAGCTTAAAACTCACACCTGACACGTGTGTGTGTGTGCCCAAAATTCCGAGAGGAGAATAGAGGAGAAGGGATTGCAGCATGGACATCCCTCTGGTGGGAGGGTGATCTCTTGCTTTCTCTCTCTCTGTCTCTCTGGCGAGCACAAGTACCCTAGAGCAAAAATCTCTCTAAGAAAAAAAAGGAGCTGTTTCATAGTGTAAAATGAAACTCAGTGAGTTTTTTTCTGACAAAAATCAGTGAGCTACTGACTTTAGGTAGAAAGCCCAATCTACTTTTTTTTTTTTTGTTTTAATGAGAGATTTTTGCTATAGGGCATGTGATACCGCTAGAGAGACAGAGAGACAGAAAGCGAGAAATCACCTCTCAGGCAGGATGGCCACACCGCATTCTCTTCTCCATTCTTCTCTCAGGATTTTGGGCATGCATGCACATGTGCCCGGTGTGTGGTTTATGTTATCGGGCCCAGGACTCAAACTGTGGTCAATATGTGGGAGTCCAGCAATGTAACAATTACATAATCTGCTGGTCCCAAGAGACCTGTATTTATTCACATTTTAAAAATTGATTTATTTTGGGGCCAGCAAGTGACTTGGTGGTTAAGGGTGCTGGACTCTTGCGTGGTAGACCGTGGTTCAAGTCTTGAAGAGGGGTTGCTTTCTCACTTTCTCTCTCATTCTCACTCTCTCTCCCTAGCTCTCTCTTTCTTTGTTTCTCTCCAGCAAGCACATACACCCTCTGGCAAAATTTTAAAAATAAATCTGTTTTTTGTAAAGAATTTTTTCTTTAAAGTTTAAATAAAAATTTTATTTATTTTTTGAAATTTGACCTTAGAGAGACGAGAGAGAGAGAGAGAGAGAGAAAGAGAGAAAGCAAGTCACCAGGTCCAGGACTCAAACCATGGTTGGCCAAGTAGGAGTCCAGCACCTTGACTGCCACTTCACCTGCTGGCCCCAACCTTTATATTTTTATAATTGAGTGAGTGATTGTCCAAAACAACTCTCAGAACAGTGGATAATTTTTTTCTGGTCATAAATAGCCTCAAATCTTTCATGGAACAATGTCTCTCTATTAATTACATTTTACCAGAGCATTATCTTCAAAAACTGTATCATAAAGGCATTAATTATGGTAGTCAACAGTTTCTATGTCTTTTTTTTTTTTTGGCCAGTGGGTGTATGCACTTGCCAAAAAGAGCGGCAGATAAAGGGGAAAAGTTCCTCCATTTCCATCCTGTCAAAGCTGAGGGACACATGCACACACACACCTGACATATTTCTCAAGCTGCCAGGGTGGTTATTGATGAGGAAACATTTTCTTTCCCTTGTTCTACCAGGCAAGTAATCTGACATTTGGAGTGGACTTAGCATTAACATGTTGAAAATGTTATGTGGTCTATTCTTTGTTAGGACCAGGATTTTGTATCTAGTCTGAAGTAGAGGATTCATCTAGGATTTCATGCTGCTTTCTTTGCTAAAGGGAGCAGGGGTGATGGAGGCCAAATCTACTAGAAGCATCTGCCAGGGAAATGGCTGAGAGAAGTGGAACCATCCAGAGAGTCAGAAGGCAATGCCTCTGCCTTCTAAGGTTAAGTGTAAATAGAAGACCAGCTGTCCCCCTTCAAGAGGAGTGAAATTGAGCTCAAAAGCTTTGCTGTACAGTACACCTAACAAGAGTAGAAAAATGTCCAAAACCAAACTCATCAGCAGTTTGCTGAGCCATCATTATGGCTATTAAGAGAAAACAGTATTTTAACATAAGGTAGGGAAATGTCCAAGTTAAAAGAAATGTTTCTCTTTTTCTTTCTTTCCTTTTTATTTATTTATTTTTATTTCGAGAGAGAGATTTTTCCTATAGAGTACATGAGCTCACTAGAGAGACAGAAAGTAAGAAATCACCCCTCGCAGAGGAGGATCTCATGCTGCCATCCCTTCTCCACCATTCTCTTCTCAGGATTTTGGGCATGCATGCACATGTACCCACTGTATGAGTTTCAAGTTGCTGAGTCTGGGACTTGCACCGCGGTCGACCATGTGGAAGCCCAGTACCTTAATCACCAAGCTACCTGCTGTCCCCAAAAGTGTTTCTCTTTTTAAACATACATCCACAGAGCTCTGTCCATTTGGAGCTAGCACATACATTGGATTGACTTAAACTTTTCCTACAGGAATGATGTCATTTTAAAAAATATATTTTTATTCATCTGTTCATCCATCCATCCAATTTTTTGCTTTTTGTGAGAAAGTGCACAGGAGAAGGCAAGAGGGAGTCTCATGTCATGATCCTCCTGCCACAGTCTCCCTGTCAGCGAGGACTACAGATGCATGCCAACATGTCCAGCCTGTTTAGGTTAGGCCGGGAACTGAACCTGGGCTCCTCATGAAACTCCAGCCATCAGGTAGCAGCACCTGCCTGCTCGTGCCACCACAACTGGACCCATCCATCCATCTTTTAAATGATCATCCATCTATCTGAAACAAGTATTTGTAACTGATTTTATTGCTTCATCCGTTATAAATCCAACCTGTTCTGGGTGCCTGCTCTATGACAAGCATAACTTCTAGTGATAGAAAGACATGGAAGATGGAGTCCCTTTCCTCAAGGAGTTTGAAGTCCAACTGGAGAGAAAGCTGAGCATACCAGTACAACACAGCAGGACAGAGAATATGATAGCACTACACTATGAAGATAGAAAGGCTCCTGGATTAGACCAGTGGATCTGGAAAGGCTAACATTAAAGTTGAACTTTAAAAGATAAGTAATAAGAATTATGTAGATGGTGAAGAGGGAAGGTAATTCTAGAGAAAAGGCATGGCATATGCAGAAAGTGTCCTTAATCATTGGTGTTCATTTATAGTCACAAAATAATCATCTAATAAAACTCCACTCCATTACACACAACATGATATAAGGATTTAACCAGCAGCAGCTAGGAGAGACAATAGTCACATACATTGACCCTGGAACTAGATTTCCTGGGTCTGAATTCTGGCTCTTACTATTTCTAGCTGATAAACTGGGGGAAATTACTCAACCTCTCTGCCTCAGTTGCTTTGACTTCAAATTGGAAATAATACGTGTAATATATGCGTGTCTGGTACAAAATAATCTCTTGGAATTCTCAGCTAGGATAATACTTTTTTCCTGGTTAAACTTATCTTATTGCTAATAGAAATGATAATAATAATAATTATTATTATCAGCTTTTGAAGAGATGTCTGAGAGCTATCACAAACTGAGGTTTACTACATTCAAAAGCCAAAGAAGGGACAGCAGGTGGAGTGGAGGTTAAGGTGACTGGATCCCACATGATTCACTGTGTAGTTCCCGCCCAGGACAAGGCAGCTTCAAAAACACACCAGACTTTCCCTCTCTCTCTGCTGAGTGCATGTGCCCTATAGAAAACTGATTTTTTTTTTTAAAAGGAAAATGTTTAAAACGTCATTATAATAAAACATTTATCAAAAATGAATTAAAAAAGAGGGTCGAGCTGTAGTGGGATAGGTGATAGGTACTGATGAGCATACTGGAGCCATCTGGGAAGGCCCTGTGTTTGAATCCCACTTGGACTGAATACACCACATCATGCCCTTGATCCTGCTGGCTGGAAGGCTGGGGAAGGAGGTACTGGGGTAGTGAGATCCTGTCAAGGATA